TCTTATTTCTTAAAAATTATTGTAATTACTTCATTGGGCCTACTGGTTTCTTTGGAGAGTACATGCTAGTGTAGGCTCTTGTTAATTTACCAGTACTGTAGTACTAAACTAGTAGTTTTTGTTTTTTGTTTTTTTTTTATCTTTGCCTAACTCAAAAAATTACCTCTTTGATATATACATTTTTTTTAAATGGCTGGCCTCTCAAATCAATTAAATAACACCTGTAAATGTCTAGAATGCTGGAGCTTCCGGGGGCTTCGCCCCCTGGACTCCCACCGCACCTTTTTCCCATGGACCACACCAGGGGCCCGTGACGACACCCTGGCCCCCAGCCAATGGTGCTCGCTTCGCTCGCAAGTGCCCTTTTAGTATCAAAAAGAACCCCCCTATAAAAATCCTGGTTACGGGCTTGAATACTAGCATCTATCATCTGTTTATGCATAATTAACAAGGCTTTGAAAAATAATGCAATAGGTCCTCATCCTGAGATTCAGGTCTGGAAGTATATGGATGACCTGAAGCTTGGAGAAAGTCGAGTGCTGGAAAATCCTAGTAATATCCAAAATGGACTAGATTCCCAACTCAACCTCTCCCAGTGCCAGGTGATGCAGATTTATTATTATTTTATTTCTGATCATTCACTCTCTGCTTTTTGCTTCCTGCGCTCGCTGTGACAATTTTTTTTTCTTTTTCATTTTTATAAATTTTTCCACTATACCAATTTGTGATAAAAAATGTGTTCTAAGGCCGTGAGTTGTGTACGGCTTTCTTGGTTTGTGCAGTATGGCATGTGTTGTACAATCTTCGGTAGGGGTCACTGTTGTCGCTTTTTTAAAGTTTCATGATGGTCTAGTTTGGTGTTTTGGGGGGGTTTTTTTCTGAATTTGTGCGTTTTTCAATGTATTTTTTTAATGTTAAGTATGTTTAAATGACATTTTATACAAATATTATATTTATATATTTTTTTGACTTTGGTTGGTTTATGTTAAAAGTTTCTCCAATTCAGCCACTGGCTGTGAGAGAATTTTATTTTGCCAGCATTTTGTTTATATGTTTTATATTGAATACAAGATACTGAGACATTTAAGTAATGACCAGGGAAAAAAGCGCCTTGAGCAGTTTTCTGGATATGTGCACTATATACATCCTATAAAATAAATAAACAGTGACTATACGAGGCTTTCTTTCCATGCCGGCATGCTTACCGCAATATTGCGGTATTGTAGCTCTGTCGGAAAGGGGCTTTAGGTAAAAATTTTAATTTTATGAATTATTATTTTAAAGAAAAAACTTATGGTGTGGTCTGTCATGTATTGTACATTTACAAACATATACAAGGGCAGATCTGGGTTAAAATTTAAGGAGGGGGAGAGTCAGAATGTTTCAAAAAAACCCCAAAAGAAGGGGGTGGGGTCCCTCCCCCAGGAATATCTTGATTCCTGGATGGCGGGAAATGAGCTTTTCTGATTTCTTAGGTGTCTTTTAATGACATTTAAGTTCTTTAAAATTTAACGTTTTTCCCCTCGTGAAAATGTTTAGGTAAAGTTTCTCTTCCTCATTACGCACTGGCTTGCACTTCGGCGTGCCAATGATTAAAGTCTTCAGGAATGAGGTAAGGAGTACGGGAGAATTTTAAAATGTCCAAAGATTTGGCACATACCAATGTTCGTGCTCTATGCGTGAACACTGCACGAACTCACTGCCGACAGTGCGTGTCAATGAAGAATGCTCTTCCTCTTGCTGCCTTATCTCCTGCTCTTTCAGAAGTAATAGTCCTGCAGTTACCAAATATAAACAACTTCTCTGCTCTGCACTAACAGTGTTTTTGGAATTCAGCATGTTGTATCGTCCACAGTCGAAGAAAAACATATATATAACGTGCTGCCAAGCGAAACAAAGCGTGATCAAAGTTACCACGACGATTTCACCCATGTGTGAAGTGGTCGGGGCAATGCATGTTCATGCGGGAAGACCGCTGGAACTATGCGTGTTGTGTGTGACAATGCAGTACGTTAAACGTGAACAATGCGCAAACAATACATAACCTATGCGTAAACAAGTTGTGCCATTACGTGCCAATGCGGCCCATTTTTGGCTGCGCATTGCGTAGACAGTTCGTAATGGATGCGTGTACAGTGTGCAAACAGGCCGCAAACACAGCTTCACCCTCCACCGAAATGGCACGCCTTGCCACGATGCTTTGCAGGCAATGCGGGGACAAATGTTGTGCAATTGTCAAGGTGGAATTACAGTAAATAGGGCTAGGCTTATTATGTGTGTATACATACAGAAAAAAAATTAGTTGTATATGTAATCTTTTTTCAATGAATCGATGATCTGATAGGCATGAAGAAGCACTTTACTTTTGAAAATGTTAGATGCTTTAAAACAAAATGAAAAACAAGACAATTTGTAAAAACCACAGTAAACTCTAAATACTTGAATGTTATGCTGTTCATTTTTTGGTAGATTAATGCCTAGATAAAGTAGAATTCATCAAAACTTAAAAACACACAAAAATATAAGCTACACATTCCCATGTTTCCACGATAAAAAGTTAGACGCAGAAGATTACAATTCAGAGTCATTCAAATATTATTGATCTACAGAAAAGCAGCCTGGCCTATCTTTGTACAAATTCTTTCACCACTTCATGAACAGGTAGTAGGATCGTTTCCTTATAATGCACATGCATGAGTGCAAGACCACTAAGCCTCTCCTCTCCCATTGTTGATCTGAGAGCTGTTTTAACTCTTCTTAAGGCCGAAAATGGTCTCTCAGCTTCACAGCTGCCAATTGTGTACGAACAGCCAATCAACAGTACTGTATTTCTCTTATGTTTGGGAAGAAATGAAATCTGCATCCTTCAAGGATGCAGAGAAAGTTAAGAATGATTGTGATAGCGGCAACTCCAAGGAAGCCTGGAATGGATTGAAGAAAGTAATTGGAAACCCAAAGAGGAATAACCCAATGGTAGCTCCATCAAGATCCTGACTAATATTTTTAACAGATTTGACAGTGACGACCAAATTGATGATGTTGACATTAATCTTAGCTTAGAGTCAAATATAACTAAATTTGAGGTTCAGTACCTGAATTTGATTTGCTTTCAGTTGAGAAAGTACTTAAATGTGTCAAAACACATTATGAATGCTTAATATAAATAATTTATTCTAAAGGATCTATAGTACAAGGATATGTTGTAAAAGTAAGAGCACACCTGGAATGATGCTGCAGACACTAGAGTTTCATATTGTCTGCCAGGGAGGTCACATCAGTTCCCCGAGACACAAGGATACCTATGTCAGTTTGGTTCTCCACAAACCTTGGTCTGGTTCTTCACTCTGTGTAGTTTCCATTTCCACTACATACAATAATGTAGAACTTGTACTTTGGGCACCATAATTTCTAGATCTACCAAATGCACATTCACTTTCACTTGCAGACATAGAAGAACTTTCCCTATTTGGTCACCACTGTCACTTTCTTGCGCACTTCACCACTAGTGCTTGGTGTTAACAGACTTGGCACTGTTAGTAAGTGCACTGCCTTCATCTATACTTTCTTGTGGCTGATCACCAGGAGTTTGATTACATCTAAATCAATCAGGAAAAGTACAGATCGTGAATAACTAACACTTCCATAGTATTCGATAAAATGCTATATTCATGCTAGTTACTAATTATACTGCTGCAGGTTTTAGAGAAATGTTTACAGATCTATATATATTTGTAGTAATAGAGATTTCTATGCTTATTGTTTAACAGTAGACCTAGTAAAAATACAAGAGTTGTTTGAAAACAGTGATCACAAAAGCAGTAAAGGTGCATTCTATTCAGCAAGTTGAAAGTTCATACAGATCTATACATCAGAACAAATCAACTTCTCCATACTTCTAAATGATATGGCCAAGATCTGACAATTTACACAAGGGTTTCCCATCCAAGACAGGCTCTGTTGGACATTAATACTTAGCCACTATTGAGAATAATATTGTTTACACTATGGCTGAAGATGAAATATGTTGACAAAATATTACATCTGATGCAAAGTATATGCAAAAAAACTGTAAGCATGCATTTTTAATTTCATACATTGAATACATCTTATCAAAATTCATGCATTGAAACATGTACTGAACCAATTAGATGTTCCTCTTCAACAAAACAAACAAACAAATGACAAATGTCTTGATGGTATGTATGTTCTATTTATTTCATCAAATTACTTACATTATCAAATGTAATAAGAAACAACATCATGTACAAGTCAACAAATGTAACATCTGTGTGGTACTTGTAACTACAAACGAAACTTTATAAATACTTAACAAGTGATTAAAGTTTTTTTAGCAACAGTAACTTCAGAATACAAAATACATCTGAAAAAGCTACTAATATCTGATTGTTTCATTTCCCACAAGTGTGGGAAATATGGGGGAGTTTTTATGGGATATTTTGCGAGGACTTGTAGCAAAACCAGAGTGAAATTGGTCAAAGTCCTGTGTCAAAATTTCCCGCACAATTTTAGATACTGTAGACTAAATGCTAAGCCCTGTGCTAAGCCTACCTTTGGCACATCCACAACAGAAACTGCGAACAGACGGAAATCTTTTCACTTTCAGGAACCAGTACAAATATTGTGCCCCCTCTGGCATGATTGGGTGGCCTCTTTCCTGTCGTCTTCTTAGAGCACAGTGCAATTTCGTGTAAATGGTAGTCCATAATCATTTTCTGTTGATAGTAAGCTCCCCGGGGGCGGATAGACGCTCTTCTCATGTTTAAAAAAAAATATATATATATATATATTGATACCGAATAAAAATAATAATAAGGGTCAGTTTTGCATGATGATTTGTATTTTTAGATTTCAAAAAACAATTATAGCTCACAGGTCCTGAAAAGGTAGGTCTAGAATTGTTTTGGCTTGGCAGCTGTCGACCCCTTCTCCAGATCTGCCAATGCACATATTATTATATATTTATTTTCATATACTAAAAGTTACACAAGACTACATGATGTGCCCATTATCAGCAATTGTATTCATCCTTTTTCATTTGCACGTTAACAATATGAATTTTTGCAAATTTTTTAACAGGAGGGTGATGGGAATGAGAACTTGTGAGTCAAGATGTCTTTTTTCTGGCAGGTAAGCTTGAGAGGCATTTGCAAATGTTGTACAAATTGTAGGTGTGAATATTGATTTTTCATTTTTTAAAATTTAACCATGCAAATAATGTGATGTAGATGTTTATGTAATTTATTATATTGATCATAATGAATATTAATTTTGTTTTAAATAATGATTTTTGTTATGATGCTCATTATGATACCATAAATTCTTGCGACTACGACTATGCAGTGGCGGCGCCAGCGGGGTGGCAGGGGGGCTTAAGCTCCCCGCCGGACAGAGCTCGTCGGACAGTCAAATCAAATCAAATCAAATCAACATTTATTTCTTTCACAATATAACAATAAAAAATATATAATTTTTAACAAATATCTAAGGTATTATATGTATATACACTATTATTATTGACTACAGTCAAACCATAAAACATATAAAAATATTATAAGCCCACACCAAGCATGTCTGTCACAGTCTGAGAGTGCCATTTTCGGCCATGTAGAGGTTGATATTCTTTAAAAAAAATCTCATTTGGGAGGGGGAAACACCTCTGAACCCCTTCTCCCAGCTCGAGCCTACAAGCTCAAGTCGCCCTGTCGGACAACTTAGCCCCCCACGAAAATATATCCTAGAGCCGCCACTGCGACAATGGCAAATTTTGCTCTAAAAAACAGAGTTGTCTATACGCCCAAAATAGGAAAATCATCTAGATTTATTCTTGAACTCAATGTGTGGAACACAAATATTTTTGGTGGAATTTGAGGCTGAGAAATCTTAAGATATTCACTCTACAGTGTGTACTCCTAGGCAGCTAACTAGATCCTTAGTCATATATTTACTAGAGTGAAAGCATGTTAACAACATTTGTAGATATATACAACAGACCCAGTGTTCTCCTCAGGGCAATAAGCTTTAACGGCCCTGTTACAGCTTCATTCAGAAAACAAGATTCCGTTACAGCTGAAATTTACCGATACACCTTGTAGTATGGTAGTATGACTGCATGGTAAATGTTCAGTTGATCAATTGTTTATACACAAGCTGTACATATACAAATTCAAAATACAAGGGAAATGCACTTTATCTTTCCGTGAATTTGACATTAACAGAGGATAAACTGTAAGCAAGTAGCCAAAGAAATCGGAAATCAGAAGAAAGCCACCCCTGTCGAAAGCCACCCCTGTCGAAAGCCACCCCTGTCAAAAGCCACCTAACAATGGATTATACCATTGTAAGGTGGGTGAATGGGGTGTTTGTCTTGATGTTGGTCTACAATAGGTTTTGGCTGTAGTACTAGGAGCTTTTTGTGACAGATCTCTTTTATTCTTTTGTGTATTATGAATTACAAACTGAGTGTAGCCTACCTGGGCATAAACATGATTTAGTACTCCAAATGCAAAACTGGATTACCTTAAAAAAAGTATTCCGGCTAGGGAGGCCCTATACATTTTTATTAGTTTATCACCCTATTTAGGGTGGAAAAGTGATGAGGGGGGGAATTCTGACTTTTTTAAAATTTTATTTTTCTTAACCCAGACATCACCCTTGGCTTGTTTGATGGTGCATTGACATTCGAGTAAAACATGATTGAGATAGTATAGACAATTATACTAACTATTTAATTTTAAGAAATGAAAAAAATATTTAAAAAAAATTAAAATTAAAAAATATATATATATATTTTTTTTTGAGTACCATAGAATACATGCGTGTGAGGGTAATAAACTAAGGAATTTTTATTGGGACTAATAATTAATTTTATGACCTTAAAGCAGGATTAATACAACTGCGGCACCGTGGAATATTATGCGCTGAACGAGGTGTCGCCACACGTTTTCCCATTACACCTTAAAAAAATCCTGGGGAGGACACTGAGACCTAAAAATGTTTGGAGGAAACACTCATTATTTTATTGATTGAATAAAATACATAATTATTTATGTTTACTAATTAATTAATTCTATATATTAACTTCCGTAATTACAAATAAGTTCCTGCTTTTCTTGCATGCACCTGGCAACTATTTGTCCTTAAAAGTTTTATTTTTTATAATTGTTAAAAAGAAATTCTACCTAGACTATTAGAATGCTAAGCATGTGGGAAATCATGTGAATTGTTAGTTGTGAAAGTAAAAATAGAAGGCCTTTTTTATGCCTGACATATCGTTGAAAAGAAGGTGGTTATTTACGATGGCCCATAAGTTCACGGCAATAATAATTTTCTCACAGCAATATCAATTTGGTTCACGGAAATATAAATTTTTAAAACGACAATATCAATTTGCTCACAGCAATATCAATTTGGTTCATGGCAATATAAATTTCTAAAAACCATTCAGGGCAATATCAAATTGATATTGCTGTGAACCAAATTGATATTGCCTCTAACGATATTCATATTGCCATGACCGGAGTTTAAAAGTTAATATTGCCGTGAACCAAACTGATATTGTCATGAACAAATTGACATTGCCGTGAACTTATGGGCCACTGTAGTTCTATCATCACCTTAATTTATGGTATATGAGGAGGATGTAACCAAACTCTACAGTAGGTCTTTTTTGCTAATATCATTCAAAGAAATTTCTGAATCATATCATATTTATGTGTTTTTCTAATTTTTTAACAAAATATGATTAGTTTCAGAATTAGTTTTTATGTAGTGATATACGAGTTGTATGGAAATTGTATGATATACGATAATTATTATTGCCATCTAGGGACTAACTTCTCAACGTATTGGTCGTGGCCCAAATTTGAATCGCCAAAACATTTCTGAGGGTCGCGATATTGCATTTGACTAATTACGAAACAAAAGCTAGAAATTATTGTCAACCCAAATCCAAGGATCAACTCTCATGGTTGCATTGTTGCCAATCTCTCCAAGGAAGATAATTAAAATCTGGCAAGAGTAGAGCAAGAGAGAGCAGCTTAGCTCAGTCTGCTAATCTGGTGGTATCCACTGTGTGTGCGCTGCCCAATCACCACCAGAAGGACCCCACTTAGACCAGGCTATAATTGAGATAGGTGCCACTTGGAGAGGTAGAAATTCTCATATGGTTTTTCTAGACCAGTTTTTTTATGGGGAATCAGAATATGTGAGGTAAAAGGGGTGTAACCTGAGAACT